GTGAAAGGAATCAATAAAGGAGATGTAGATAAAGTTCTTATAATATCCGATCAGGATAGGACTCGAAGCAACGGATTTAAGTTGGATAAGTTTTGGTTTAGGAGGGAGATAGGAAGGAACGGGCTCACAAATATGGTGGTAGACGAATGGAACAAGCTTAGCAACTTTGTAGTAAGTGCTGGAACGCTGGAAAGTTTTAAAAGGAGGCTAGATAGATTCACGGATGATAGAGAGTGGTTGTAACTCTAGACAGGAGCTGCCATGCACAGGCCAACCGGCCTATTGCAGACTCCTTATTTTCTTATGTTCTTATGTTCTTTAGCGGCAGTGTAGTGAGTGGTTCAAAATCTAGTAGTGGCAGTGTATTGGGTGGTTTACCATCTAGTAGAGGCAACGTAGTGAGTGGTTGAATAGCCAATAGCGAGGGCATAATGGGTGGTTCACAAGCTAGTAGTCGTAGTGTAGTAAGTGGTTCACCCTCGTGTAATGACAGTCAGGTGAATGGTTCTTCAGCTACCAGTGGCTTTATAGTGAGTGGTTCACCATCTAGTAGTGGCAGTGTAGTGAGTGGTTTACCAACTACCAGTGGCAGTGTAGTGAGTGGATCACCATCTAGTAGTGGCAGTGTAGTGAGTGGTTCACCATCTTGTAGTGACAGTATAGTGAGTGGTTCACCATATAGTGCAGTGAGTGGTTCACCGTCTTGTAATGACAGTGTAGTGAGTGGTTCACCATCTAGTAGTGGTAGTGTAGTGAGTGGCTTACAATCTTGTAATGACAGTGTAGTAAGTAGTTCACCATCTAGTAGTGACAGTGTAGTGATTGGTTTACCACCAAGTAGTGGCAGGGTAGTGAGTGTTTCACCATCTAGTAGTGGCAGTGTAGTGAAATGTTCACCAGCTAGTAGTGGTAGTGTAATGAGTGGTTCACTATCTAGTATTGGCTGTGTAGTGAGTGGTTCACAATCTAGTCGTGGGTTTGTAGTGAGGCATTGAGTGGTTCAGCATCTAGTAGAGGTAGTGTAGTGTGTGGCTCACCAGCTAGAAGTTGCAGTGTAGTGAGGGGTTCACCATCTAGTAGTGGCAGTGTAGTGAGTGGTTCACCAGCAAGTAGTGGAAGTATAGCGAATGGTACACAATCTAGCAGTGGCAGTGTAGTGTGTGGTTCAACCAGCTAGTAGCTGCGGTATAGTGAGTGGTTTTCGAGTTAGTTATGACAATATAGTGAGTGATTTACCATCGAGTAATGGTAGTGTAGTGAGTGGTTGACAAGCTAGTATCGATTACACAATGGGTGATTCGCCAGCTAGCAGTGGTAGTGTAGTGACTGGTTGGTCATTTAATAGGGGCATTGAAGTGATTGGTTCACCATCTAGTGGTGGCAGTGCAGTGATTGGTTCATCATCTAGAAAGCGGCAGTATATGAGTGTTTCACAAGCTAGTAGTGGTAGTGTAGTGAGTGGTTCAGCATCTATTAGTGGTAGTGAAATGAGGAGTTCAGAATGTAGTAGCAATGTAGTGAGTGGTTTACCAGCTAGTAGTAGCAGCATAGTGAATGGTTCACCGGCGAGTAGTGGTAGTGTAGGGAGTGGTTCATCATCTAGTAGTGGCAATGCACTGAGTGGTTGACCATCTAGTAATTATAATGTAGTGAGTGGTTCAACTGCTAGCAGTGTCAGTGTAGTGATTGGATCATTACCTAACAGTGGCAGTGTAGTGACTGGGCCACGAGTTTGTATTGGCAGTGTATTAAGTGGTTCACCATCTAGTAGTGATAGTATAGCGAGTGGCTCACTAGCTAGTAGCGATGGCATAATAAGTGGTTCACCAGCTAGTAATGGCAGTATAGCGAATGGTTGACGGATTAGTAGTAGCGGTGTAGTGAGAGTTTACCAGCTAGCCGTGGCTGTGTAATGAGTGGTTCACCAGCTAGTAGTGGGAGTATAGCGAATGGTTCACCAGCTAGTAGTGGCAGTGTAGTTAGTGGTTCACCAGCTAGTAGTGGCGGTGTAATGAATTATTATCCAGCTAGTAGTGGCATTATAGTGAGTGATTCAACATCTAGCAATGGTAGTGTAGCGAGTGGTTCACCAGCTATTAGTGGCAGTGGAGTGAGTGGTTCAACATCTAGTAGTGGCAGTGTAGTGAGTGGTTCACCATCTAATAGTGGCAGTGCAGTGTAGTGAGTACTTCACCACCTAGTAGTGGTAGTGTACGGAGTGGTTCTCCATCTAGTCATGATAGTTTAGTGAGTGGTTCGACATCTAATAGTGGCAGTGTAGTGTTGGTTCACCATATAGTAATTGATACTGTAGTGGGTAGTTCAACATCGATTAGTAGCAGTGTAGTGAGTGTTTAACCAGCTAATAATAGTAGTTTAGTGAGTGGTTCACCATCTAGTAGTGGTAGTGTAGTGGGTGGATCAACATCTGGTAGTGGCAGTGTAGTGAGTGGTTCAGCAGCTAGTAGTAGCAGTTTAGTGAGTGGTTCACCATCTAGTAATGGCAGTGTAGTGAATGGGTCATCATCTAGTAGTGATAGTGCAATGAATGGTTCACCATCTAGTAGTGATACTATAGTGGGTAGTTTAACATCGATTAATGACGATATAATGAGTGTTTAACCTGTTAGTAATAGCAGTTTAGTGAGTGGCTCACCATCCAGTAGTGATAGTGTAATGAGTGGTTCAACATCTAGTAGGGCAGTGAAGTGACTGGTTCTTCATCTAGGAGTGGCAGTGAGGTGAGCGGTTCACCAACTAGTAGTGGTACTGTACGGAGTGGTTCTCCATCTAGTAGGGAATGTGTAGTGAGTGGTTCACCATCTAGTAGTGATACTGTAGTGGGTAGTTTAACATCGATTAGTGGCAGTATAATGAGTGTTTAACCAGTTAGTAATAGCAGTTTAGTGAGTGATTTACCATTTAGTAGTGGTAGTGCAGTGGGTGGATCAACATCTTGTAGTGGCAGTGTACTGACTAGTTCACCATCTAGGAGAGGCAGTGAAGTGAGGGGTTCACCATATAGTAGTGGCAGTGTAGTGAGTGGTTCACCTTCTAGTAGTGGCAATGAAGTGAGTGGTTCACCATCTATTAGTGGCAGTGTAGTAACTGATTCAACATTTAGTATTGGCAGTGTAGTGAGTTGGTTCACCATCTAGTAGTGGCAGTGTGGTGAGTGGTTCAGCATGTAGCATGTAGGTAGTAGGTAGTAGGTAGTAGGCAGCTACCAAAGAGGGAGGTACTTCCATATGGGAAGATATTGGAAGCATAATGTACCTGTATTGTCTAACGGTTGACCCTGCTACCATGTGGCATCACAAAAATTGTGACCAAGTCCCAGATTACTGATCTGCCTCATTTACACTCATTTGGTGGGTTTAAATTGTTTCTCTTACTATTGATGACAAAACATACATACGTTTGATCTTTTTTTTCATATTTAAATTTCTGTATTTTTATTATTATTTTAGTTATTATTTTATTATTTTTATTTATTATTTTGTATTTTTGCATACAATTTTTATTTATTATGAATTATTATTATTATTATTATTTTTATTAATATTGTTATTATTATTATTATTATTATTATTATTATTATTATTATTATTATTATTATTATTATTATTATTATTATTATTATTATTATTATTATTATTATTATTATTATTATTATTATTATTATTATTATTATTATTATTATTATTATTATTATTATTATTATTATTATTATTATTATTATTATTATTATTATTATTATTATTATTATTATTATTATTATTATTATTATTATTATTATTATTATTATTATTATTATTATTATTATTATTATTATTATTATTAATATTATTATTATTATTATTATTATTATTATTATTAATAATATTAATATTATTACCTTTTTGCCACTCGGCCCTGATGTGGGTCATTGACCTATGCCCGGGTGGGATAATCCCTGTAGAGAAAAAAAAATAGTAGGGAGAGTGTAGTGAGTGGTTAACCATCTAGTAGTGGCAGTGTAGAGAGTTGTTCACCACATAGTATAGGCAGTGTAGTGAGTGTTTCACCATCTAGTAGTGGCAGTATAGTTAGTGGTTCACCATCTGGTAGTGATAATATAGTGAGTGGTTCACCATCTAGTAGTGATAATATAGTGAGTGGTTCACCATCTAGTTGTGATAGTACAGTGAGTGCTTTACCATCTAGTAGTGATAATATAGTGAGTGGTTCACCATCTAGTTGTGATAATATAGTGAGTGGTTCACCATCTAGTAGTGATAATATAGAGTGGTTCACCATCTAGTAGTGATAATATAGTGAGTGGTTCACCATCTAGTAGTGATAATATAGTGAGTGGTTCACCATCTAGTTGTGATAGTACAGTGAGTGGTTCACCATCTAGTAGTGATATTATAGTGAGTGGTTCACCATCTAGTAGTGATAATATAGTGAGTGGTTCACCATCCAGTAGTGGCAGAGCAGTGAATGGTTCACCATCTAGTAGTGGCAGTGTAGTGAGTGGTTCACCATCTAGTAGTGGCAGAGCAGTGAATGGTTCACCATCTAGTAGTGGCAGTGTAGTGACTGGTTCACCATCTAGGGGTGACAGAGTAGTGAGTGGTTCACCATCTAATATTGGCAGAGTAGTGAGTGGTTCACCATGTAGTTGTGATAGTGTAGTGAGTGGTTCACCATCTAGTAGTGGTAGCATACTGAGTGGTTCACCATGTAGTTGTGATAGTGTAGTGAGTGGTTCACCATCTAGTTGTCGTAGCAAACTGAGTGGTTTACCATGCAGTAGTGATAGTGTAGAGAATGGTTGACCAGCTAGTAGTAGCAGTGTAGTGAGTGGTTCACCATCTACTGTAGTAGTGTAATGTAGTGAGTGGATGACAGTGTAGTGAAAGGTTCACCATCTAGGAGTGGCAGTGAAGTGAGTGGTTCACCAGCTAGTAGCGGTGTGGTCCACTGTTATTAACCAATTTTTTTTCCACCATTAGCTTGGAGTATGATGGTTGCCCGGTGCCCCAAGTACTGGCAGGATCGAGGGGGTACTGACCAGTGTTACCTCATCCATAGTGGCGGACGCGCTAGGTCCTTCTATGACGCCAGGACCTACTGCAAGGCACACGGAGGCGACTTTGCCTTCATTGATACAGTCTCCATGAGAGTAAGTCGTAAACCCGGTTCATACTAAACCATTTTGAAATAATTCTCTCAAACCAAGCATTACCATTGATGACGTCACGAAAACGGTGGTCTTTTCAGATGGGCGGAGGTCAAAGGTAAAAAAAAAAGAAAAAATATGATTACCTTGGCTACTAAATTAAAACCATTGCAGTTTGTTGCTTATAAGATAAACCATTTAATGCCTAAGATATTTTCTCGCGTAAATGGTCACATGGACACACCGAAACACATACTGTACGTGAGGGGAACAGGTTTCAGGTATGGGGAAGACAGGACGTATCCAAATCCAGGAGACGTAACAGTTACCTTCCTAGGTTTTCGATGTTCCAAAATCTTCAGACAATGAACATTGCGTCTACATTTTTTATTTCTTCTGTGTATAAGACATAATAAAAGAATGATCCTCAAATAGGCATCAGAAGTTATGATGGCTTAAACAATCAAGCCTGGCGATCCAGGAGTCACGTCTATCTCAAGCTAAGATTTCATATTTTGTTATATTTTTCGGATACGATTTTAGATTATCTAAACTTGCCTGAATATTGTCAACGATGCTAATATGCAGGGACAAATTAGTTGTGTTACTGTTTTAGCCATTACATTTTATGGTGGTATTAAGGAATTTTGAATTATAACCTATTACCAGGACTACATTCAACACCATCTGTTGTCCATTAACGGCAAGTAACACGATTAAACATATGATATACTTTTTGTTATTTGCCTGTACAAGTATATTGCACTGAATCATTGCAGAGACTACTCTCTTCTTTTTTTTATGGGAAATAGCCCACCCGGGCACAGGTCATTGACATCGAACCACAACGGGGCCTAGAGACCGAAAAAATAAGGGTAAAAAGGAATTACAAATATAAAAGAAAAAGATTATATTAATCTACACCACGGAGATGTTGGAAAACCATCTTTTTTACTTGAGACAGATTGTATGGGTATGGAAACACAGAAGAAGGCTGAGCATTCCACAGTTTGGCTGTGTGAGGAGAGACGGAAGTACTATAACGGGTTATTCTAGTGTGACCGACATCCACAGAGAAACGGTGGGCACCGCGGGCAAGACGAATGTTACGAGCCCACACCCTTGTCGGCGGTACAAAGGATGCCAAATCCACCGAACATTGCCCGTTAAAGTACCTGTAAAAGAGAGAGAGTAAAGCAACATTGCGGCGAAGAGAAAGGGAAGAACGATTATATACTACAGTAAAGGAGGAGAGTTAATAAGACGAAATGCCTTTCATTCCACCCTATCTAACAGTTGGACAGACGAAGAGCCACTCCAGATATGAGAGCAATACTCCAAGTTCGGACGAATGAATCCCTTATATACGTAGAGGCAACTGCTTAGGATTGAAGTAGCTACGGCATCTGTACAGCATTCCCAGCTTTCGGGAGGCAGCTTTAGCACTGCTGAGGATGTGTGGCTTCCATGATATATTAGAGAAAATGGTGAGGCCTAGCATATCTATTTTATAATTTGGCAGAATGATTGCGTCCTGAAATGTGATTGGTGGGAGATTATCTAATTTGCAAAGTGTAATTAGTAAATGCTGAGTTTTATTACTATTGAATTTAACCAGGTTTCTACCTCTCCGTTCGGAAATGCTGCACAGATCTGCATTGATAGATTTAATGATATCAGCTCTAGAAACAGAACTAGTTTGAAAATTAGGGGGAAGGGGAAAATGTGAAGTAGAGTGAAGAGTAGAATCACCAGCGTAAGAATAAATAGAGTTAGTCGTAGTTTAAAGTAAATCATTGATAAAAAGAAGGAAGAGAGTAGGAGAAAGAGCCGAACCCTCTGGGACACCACTATTGGTAGAGAAAGAGCGAGAGATTGATCCCGCGACAACAACTGCCATGGATCGGTTCTGAAGGAAGCTTAAAATTAGAGAACAAAGTGGGGGAGAGAAACCATAAAAGGGAAGTTTAGAAAGCAAAGACTTGTGCTATGCCCTGTCAAATGCTTTGGCGATGTCGAGGGCCACGACGAAAGTTTCCCCATAATCCCTAAGAGAGGATGACCAAAGGTGGGTGCAGTAGGAGAGCATATCACCAGTAGATCTCGCTTGGCGAAAGCCAAACTGGTGAGCCGACAAAAGAGAATGACGTTCAAGGTGACAGGGAAAGTGAGAGTTTAAGATAGTTTCATAAATCCTAGAGAGGGATGAAGTTAGGGCAATGGGGTGATAGTTAGAGGGATTGGAATGGTCACCCTTCTTCGGGATGGGTAGAACCGAGGCATGCTTCCAAGAAGAAAGAAAAATTTGGGTTTTGAGGCAAAGGCGAAAGAGGCGAGCAAGCACAGGGGCCAGAACTTCAGCACACTCCTTCAGAACACGAGGGGGTATTCCGTCCTGTCCATGCGACTTATTGACATCCAACATGGATAACACACCAGCGACTCTACGAGTGGAGATTATAGGAAAGTGCGTAGGTTCAGTAGGAGGAGCAGGAGTGGGAGGGATAGAGTTGGAATCGTCATAGATGGAGTTATAGGAGAATAAGGTGCCAACGAGATTGGCTTTATCAGGGGGAGAGTTGGCTATAGAGTCATCAGGTCGAAAGAGAGGAGGAAACGGTGGGAGTGCTGAATTTATTACAGATTTTTTGGTTAAAGACGAGAAGGATTTACTAGAAGAAGAGATAGTCGGGACAGCGGTCTTTCTTTTTCTAAAATTCCATTTGACCCTACGAAGAATAGCCTTATAACAATTCCTAGAAGTAATGAAAGAGGCGTGGGTAACAGGAAAGGAGATAGTTTCATAACTTGATATGCCCTATTTCTCTCCCTACATGCAAGAGAGCAGGAGCGACCAAACCATGATTGGAAAATGAAAATTTTGGTTGAAGATGGGATAAATGCACTCATACCACTCTTTATAGCCCCAGCAATGTTGTCAACACATACCGAGGCATCCCGAGTGGAAAAGCAGCATTCATCCCAAGGAAAGTCGGAGAAGAATTCTCGCAAGGATTGCCAGTTTGCCCTCCGATAGTGCCATAGTTGGCGTTTAGAGGGACGTGGGGGAGTTAGTCGTGCCCAGTTTAAAGAGAAATAAGATTGCGATTAGAAGACCCTAGGTGGCAGAAATTGAGTATGAATAGTGTAAAGGATTAGAGGTAAAACAAAGATCAAGGTTGTTAGTAAGTTGATCGTGTCGACCAGGAACGCGTGTAGGGTGTTTAATTATTTGCTTCAGATCATTAAGTAAGGAAAAAGAGAGTGCCTCAGCTCCACCTAGGTCATCCCTTGCAGAGCTAAGCCACACTCTGTGATGTACATTGAAATCCCCTAGTTAGAGGATCTCGGAGATGGGATGTTTAGATAGCAACGACTCATGTCAAAGATTTCTAAATAGTTGATACAGTTGGGAGAACAGTATAGAAAATAAAGGAAAATATTCATAGTCGGTAGAGAAATTTTGAGCCAGCTGACATCATAAAGGGAATATTCAAGATCCGTGAGTCGAGCTATTAGTTGTAGGTGTGTTGCAGTTGGCACATCAACCTTCCTTAGAACGGAAAGGGGTATAAAGGTTGTAGTTGGAGACTTGAAAAGGTTTGGGTAAAGGTGCTTTGGTCAGTTGAAGTTCAGATAGTAGTAAGAGGTTAGGGGAAGAGGTTAACAGATGGTGCTTCACAGAAGGAAAATTGGATCTCAGGCCGCGAATGATGGAAAAATGAAGTGTGAAAAATGACGATCCTCCAGCAACCACGGTGACGTCAGTTGAGGCCCCTGTAGTTTGATGATGATCATGTCGGCCCTGGGGTTCAAAACCTTCCCGACCAGCGGGACCCACACGAGAAGGCCCCGCTTTAATATTATTGTCAACTGACATCATAGAAGAATAAAAGAATAGAAAGAATGGAGTAGATCAAGAATGAGTACGGTCATATATGTTGTGTTGTCAATAGTAAGAGAGAATTGAGATCCTGCAATTGTGTGTAAATGTGGCAGAAAGACAGATCAACAACCTGGGACTTGATCACAATTTTCGTGATGCCGTGTAGCAGCAGGGTTTACCATTAGACAGTACATTAAGCTTCCAATATATTCCCAGGCGGTGGTACCTCCCTGTTTGGTGAAATTATTTAACTGCAGTAAAGTAGGGCCTCATCTTATTACCTTGCGTAATCGCATAGGATCACAGTCGTTTCACTAATAATTTATTCATGCGTAAATCTATATTTCACTTTCCTTTCTGACACTACCTACGTCAGAGACGGCCGTCAAAACAACCTAGTGTGAACCGACCTTTACACCTGAACCAATATTTCAGACCATTAATGTCGTTTTTTCTTTTACTGTGTTGTTTCGCGTTGTGTCCAAGTGCATTTAAATTCAGCTAAGTTTAAAGATTTGCAGTAAAGTATTTGTATGTATATTATGAATGTTGTATGTATACCATGTATGTACTCTATATATACACATTATTTCTCTAGTCAGTAGCGTGTGGCAATGCCCCTGTTTCATGTCACCACACGCTTAGATAAATGTGCCTGGCGACATCTGGAAGCTGCTAATGTACCACTTACCACATGTCGCCTGAGAGGTCAGAGTGAGGTCAGTTGACCCCTATAGGAGTGTAAGGACTACCTGCGCTTGTGAGCGCACTCCTGTATATTTCCGTTAATAAGAACCTACAGAACTCTACAGGTGTTTACATTCGCTCCTGTAGTTAGAACCAAGTACCCGAACATCTCCATGGTGCAGTGAGTATCAAGTGATCGATTAAATGGAAATAAGTGCGTTCGTGTAAAATCAAGATGGGTAGATCTCCTCCGTCAACTCCATCATCAGTCGCCATTGTCTCCCCCAGAAATTCGTTTGAATGACCAACGAGTTTTGAGCAGTGTGCAGTGACGGCAATTTCCTGTGAAGTGTCTTTAAGTGCCCCTCGTGTGTGTGTAGTGTTAAAGTGTGTGTCCTTGTTTTAAAGGATTCCCTAAGGTGGAAGGCTG